CTATGGCACGATGTAAGGAATGATAAAAAGGTCATTTAAGGGTAAGTATGTGGCCTCTGAAATTTTATGTTCAAACTCTAACAGAATCAAAAAACACTATGCGATCTTTTCTTATCTGTCCAAATTTTGGTGGGCAAAGGAATATGATACCTGTGTTGGTGAGAAGTAACCGGGTATCACGTAAAATTAATCAAGATACCTATAAGCTAGTCCAAACATCACGTTTATTAAGAAAAATGATATCAAATCTAAATAAGCAGTTATGCAAAGAAAGTGTAAGTCGTAATTAACAAATGCTGACTTAGAAGTTCGAAATTAACAAATGAGAATTTATAAGTCGCAATTAACAAATGCAATTTATAGTCGTTTTTATAAAATCGGATTTACCAAATTATACTTCACTACTATTGTTGAAATTATTGTTACACGTTTATTATAGTGTAACTAACAAGCTAGCTATGGAATTGCTCGCAGGCACAGCTGCAGGGGGCGTAGAGTGAAGGCTATCTGAGTCCAAAAAGATACGGAAGTAGCTCCGCCCAATGGACCTGAGCAGCTGAGACATTGGCCTCCATTAACCTAAGAACAACCTATGATATAGCCCATTGTCAATTCTGCTTTTCTGCTTCATCAAGAGCATCAGGCGATCAGATTTGGGTAAAGTACACAAATAGTTCTTGGATGATTTTGAATTTTTATCTCTGCGTGTTTCATGGGCATAATTTCAATACAAGTGTTGCTCCTTGTTTATCCCATAGGCAACACTTTTAACGTTTGAATTTGAAATTCAAATTCTGTCCACCCAAAAGTATCATATTTCTGCAATATTTTGGCCAAGGGATCTACGCATATATGGAAATCTAATTTTTAAGTTGGCCAAGAATCTTATGGGCCTCCCCGACCACTAGAATTCAGAAAATATGACGGGCTTAACTGCTTGTTCCTTGAAATGTCACGGATTTGCAGCCGTACCCAATATTTGTGTACCTTTAAACTTGTACCCTATTTTTAAAAATTATTGATTTGGTAGTCAACTGACAAAAAATTCGTAATAATATGACAAATTACACCACTGACAAAAGATATAAAACCTGCATCATGCATTAATCGCGTGATCTGCAATCTCATTCGTGAAAAAAGATCTCCTCCTCTCCTCTCGGCCACTTTATCAAAAATCCAGAAACTTGTCCAGATTCATCTTCAGAATCACACTTGCATGAAGTTGTTTCACCTTGAATCTAAAACTTCATGCTAATGTAGCATGAAGTTGTTTCATGTTGAAGTTAAAACTTCATGCTAATATAGCATGAAGTTTTTTCACATTGAAACTAAAACTTCATGCTAAAGCATGCTGAAGTTATTTATCCTGCAGTCTACAATTTTGTCATGAGTTTCATCCGAAACTTCAGTCTAAATATACTGAAGTTATTTAGTTCATTTGCTAAAACTTCAGACTAAACATGCTTAAATTTTTTAGTTCATTTGCTAAAACTTCATACTAAACATGCTTAAGTTTTTGTCTTGCAGTAAGTAATTTTCTAATGAGTTTTTGCTAATGCATGCTGAAGTTATTTAGTTCATTTGTTAAAATTTCATACCAAAACATGGTGATGTTTTGTCATACAGTCTACAATTTTGTCATGAGTTTTATCCGAAACTTCAGTCTAAACAAGCTGAAGTTTTTTAGTTCATTTGCTAAAACTTTAGACTAAACGTGCTTAAGTTTTTGTCTTGCAGTATGTAATTTTCTAATTAGTTTTTTGTAATGCGTGCTGAAATTATTAGTTCATTTGCTAAAATTTCGTACCAAAACATGCTGAAGTTTTGCCTTGCAGTCTACAGTTTTGTCAATAGTCTTTTATTAAAGAAGAGCAAAATCGTCTTTTTAAAACGCTTTTAACAAAAAAAAGGGTACGGATACAAACGAAAAAATAAAACGAGTATAAGTTAAAGAGGGGGCGAGCAAATAGGGAGTCCCATGCAATTTTTTCAAATGTCAGAGAGCTATTTTTCTGGCATATTAAGTGGGACACATAGGCTTAGCCGAATATTGGGTGACCATTTGCTATTCTAACAATTTCAGTACATAAAATATATAAGAATTGACTCAAGCTTAGAACCCGTTTGGTCAAGCTATCAAAAACTATTTTTTTTTGAAAAGTTCAAAAATACTTTTTGATCAATTCATTTGAGTAGTGATTTTTGCAAGTTCATTGTGTTTGATCAATCTTTTCAAAAAATACTTTTAGGTATCAAATTACGAAAAAAGACAGTAAATGTTCAATTTGCAATTAATATTATTTAAAAAATAAAAAAATTAAATATTTATAAAACAAAAAATTCAATTAAAATATGAAACGTAAAGTAAAAATATAAATTAAAATTACGATCAATATAAAATATAATTATTTTAAAGCAGCAACATTGAGTATTTGGTATTACTTATTGTTTATATGATAATATGAATATATCAAAATACATCATTCAAATATAAATTTAAAATCTACTCTTAGGAATAGGAGAAAGAGAAGAAAAATATGATTTTAATAAAAAGAGAGAAAAAAGGCATAGTAGAAATAAAAAAGAAAAGGAAAAGTAAAAGAAAAATGTTAAATTAATGTCGAATAATTTGAAAAATATAAATTTATTGTAAGGTTATTTTTGTCTTGAATAAATTAATTTTTTACTTCTGCTGAACAAGCTAGAATTTGTAGTTTCTCTCCAAAAACAGAAAAATTATCTTTGTTGCTGCTCAAAAGCACTTATTCGTCTCGGCCAAACACCTTAAATTTTTCAAAAAAATATTTTTGGTCTCCAAGAAGCTTGGCCAAACAAACTCTTAGAGTTATTTTCTATGATGCCAAGGTAGTGCTACGGTAATCATTTGTACTAAAAAGAAGTCCTTCTACGTATAATGAAAACAGAGTTGTTCAATCAAATAGCAGCCTTTGATGCTCGACTAGCTTAAGGTTTACACATTAATATTTATACAAATAATACCTTTTTGCGTTATATACATCTCATTATTGTTAGGGTTACATTGTGATATTTTTTAAAAAGAGCTGCTAAAAACACGTTCGACCCCCTATTTGGCTTTTTCTTAAATTTTGAACAGAACGTCTTAACATTCTTGTTTTTTTCTTAATTTTTTTTAAATCGTCACAAATTCTATGTAGCCATTTTCAGTGGCGACCCTTAAAATTGCTACAAAGGATAATATTTATGTGTCTCCTTTTTCAGCGGTGACCCCAAACGTCACCACAAAAAGGGAGTATTTGCATGCAGCCATTTTCAGTGGTGACTCCAACACATCGCCACAAATGGTACAATTTTATATCGCCTTTTCAGTGGCGACCCTAAAAGTCGCCACCAAAGGATAATATTGTATGCAACCATTTTCAGTGGTGACCCCAAAATATCGCCACGAAAGGGAGTTTTTGTACGCCGCCGTGTTCAGTGGCGACCCAAACGTCGCCACAAAAGGTACGATTTATATTTCGCCTTTTTGCAGTGACGATAACAAAACGTCGCCACCAAAAGTAAACCATTTTCAGTGGCAAGCCTAAAAGTCGCCCCAAAGTTATATTTGTTTGTCTCCGCATGTGTCTTGGTGCACGTAAATGAATTTCTTTGAATTTATCAAAAGAAACTGGGGTAGTATTGAGTAAAGCTCCGGGAAGTCTCGGTGTTAGAAATTTTTTAAATCCTCAAATCAATTCTTTTTGAACTTAGTATTTGATCAAACTTGTAAAATTTGAATGAATAATGAATAATTTAGACATAAGGGCACTAAAGAGGTCTTCTGTGACTTTTTCTCTCAACATGATTTCTTCTAATAGTTGATTTGTAATAGTTTCTTTTCGGCGATGTAAGTATGAAATATAATATTTTCTTCGAGTGCTCTTTCAAAAAAAATAGGGACAAGGTAGATCTAAAATCACATATAAATTTAATAAAAAATCTATATAGGTGACATCAATAATTTAAAATTTTGTTTGTCTTGTTAGTACGTTTACTTCAGGTCCATGATTTTTAGGAGTTTAGCCTTGTTAGAGATTTATATTCTATTAGAAAATATAGAGAATTTTTAGTCATATTTGTATGTCACCATTTGAAGTGGCGGTCATAAAAGTCGCCACGAAAAGTAATAATTGTATGTAGTTGTTTTTAGTGCAGTCGCCACAAAGGTAAAATATTTTACGTCGCTGTATGACATAATTAATATCCACAGTATGACGCACCAGTGATATTTATTGTTATCCACAGTATGATATACCAGTTGAAGTCTCTATTTCTCTTGCTTAATTAAAAGCATTAGAGCATTTATATCTAGAGGGAAAAGCTAACAACACATGACATTCTAAGAGAAGAATAGAGCAAATGATAACACTGTGTTTTGCCTATCCAGTAGAAAAATGATAATGCTACACCATCTTAGTAACAATACCTCTATTTACAAATATTATGATGACACTCGAATATTAAATAAAATCCACATTATGACTAAGATCGAAATTGATTTGTTATGTTGCTCGTCAGTGTTGATTTTTTATAACTATTTGTTATCTTTGACTAGTACGAGTGTCGGGTAACTCTATCCAACTAAAAATTTAAGTGTAGAAAAAAATATCAAATATCACCTTATTTTAATCTTTATCACGTAATAACCAAAAATGTGGACTTATTAAGTATCTCGCCCAAGATCATTGTCACATTCATTGGTTCACATCATTACTATTTAATATTTTCCGTTGATATGAAAGTTTATTTAACAAAATGCCACAAGAAGAATATTTTAAGGACAAACTTCATCAAGAAAGCGTGCATAATCAATTGACACTTTCTCTCTAAAAGATAAGACTAGATGTGAACTTTGATTAACATTCATATATAAATTGATTGAATTAAACTAGGTAAGCAGAAAATTACGGAACAAATCAAAATAACTTAATGCTTCTGGTGATAGTGATACAAAGGACACAATGCTGCACACACAACCATAAATTAACAGTATTCGAGTCAGTTTACGTATACTTGACTAAACAAATGTATAAATTTTGAGTCCGCAGGTGCAATCAATACAACTTCATTACCAAAACCAACAGATAACAACCTTTTGATGCTCGAGTAGCTTAAGGTTTAGAACCCCAAGAGCAGATAAGATCAAGGGTAGGGTGGGTAGGGTAGGGTGGATTGGTGAGGATGGGAGGTGGAAAAGCTTCTAAAAGAAGCTTCTTTTAACTTTATAGTATATAAAAACATACATGAGTCATAGTATCCAATTACATCTATGCACCGACTACTATTGCACCCAAATAACTTATAAGACCATAAATAAAAAAGGAAAAAGATAATCATATGTATGGCTGTCTCCCTTAACTTTCAGAAGCTCTGAAGATAGTCAATATAGATAGGAAGAGATTGATAACGTCTAGATACAAGGCAACTGCAGCCCAGATATATTTGTCGTAAGTATAGCGCTTGATTAGGTTGTCTGTATCATAAACGATGTATCCACAGAATAAAATTGAGGCTAGACACCCATAGATCATCACAGAGATCCTACCCAATGGGAACAGAAGCTGCAAAAGGCAAAAATATATAGAGACGAAGTCACGATAATATAATAGACTAAGCTCTAAGGCCAATGCAATGTTTGTTCAACCAAAGAGTTTTATAAACAACGATAGGTGACTTTAATTTAACGTGACAAACGATAGTTTTTTGAATTCACTATCAAGCATGTTTTACACAAAGCATAGAGTGCAATGAGTTCAGCGATTAAAATATAGCAGTTGAACGAAACTAGGAAGTGTAAGTCGCAATTGCCAAATGGGGTTTATATTTGGCAATTGCGACTTATACTTCCTAGTTTAATTGCATAGCTACTTATTTATACACTGATACGAATTAAGAGATGGCAAAAGTCCACAAACCTGGATGAAGGCAAACAACATGAGAACAATGAGAGCACCAAATAAGAATGGTCCTAGAAAATTGAAATCGTGGCCTCTCTTTGCTGCACAGAATGTGTACACTGTTAGGCTAAGCACCACTGCTGTCGTCAATATGACGGACTCCAATATTACCTTGCCTGTGACATCCAAATAGAGAGATGTATTATTATCCAGTTATGACACACCAGTTGAAGTCTCTATAATTATCCAGAGGGAAAAGCTAGCAACACATGACAATTCTAAGAGGAGAATAGATCAAGTGATAACACTATATTTTGCCTCATATCCAGCAGAAAAAATGACAATGCTATACCATCTTATAAATAACAATATCTCTGTTTACAAATTTTATGATGACGCTCGAATAATAAATAAAATCCACGGTATGACTAATATTGAAGTTGTATTTGTTATGTTGCTCGCTAGTGTTGAAATGCTCTGCTCCTTAAGATACCTTAACCTTTTTTTTTCTAACTACTTGTTGTCTTTGACAAAGTGTCAGGTGACTCTATACAACCAAGATTCAAGCTTAGAAAAAATATCACATTTTTTAATCTCTATCACTTAATTACCAAAAATGTGGACTTATTAGATATCTCGCCCAAGATCATTGTCACATTCATTGGTTCACATCATTAATATTTAATATTGTCCGATGATATGAAAGTTTATATTAACACAGTGCCACAAGAAAATATTTTAAGGACAAACTCTATCAAGAAAGCGTGCATAATCAATAGATATGGCTTAAAACAAACAAACAATATAATTTTTAAAATTATTGACCCTTTCTCTCTAAAAGATTAAGACTAGATGTGAACTTTGATTAACATTCATAAATAAATTGATTGAATTAAAACTAGGTAAGCAGAAAATTACGGAACAAATCAAAACAAAGAGAGGCATTGAAATGAAGGTAATTAAACCCCTAAATTAAAGGTGACGAAGCTTACCACTAGTGAACGCACAAGTCAATCCCACAGCAAAGGCTAAAGCAACTGTAAACAACCCAAGAATCAAAAAGTTGACTGGATGTTTCTGGTGATAGTAATACAATGGGCACAATGCTGCACACACAACAATATATTAACAGTATTCGAGTGTATACCTCGACTAATCAAAATTAAATTAATAAAAAATAACTTATATAGAAAAGGAGACGTACTAATGAAGGGAGTGATTATAAGAACAATATACAGAGCTAACCCTGCCCCAGTTGACACAAAGAAATGTGCAATTGGGTGAACTGTAACAACTACAGAGGCAACTGCAATTGTGAGAAGAAGTTGAAGACTCAAAATAGAGTAAACTTTCCGAATAAAAGTCCAGCGGAGTTCTGGACTCTCCAACATCGTCGGATACAACGCCCTTGCTCCGCCCTCCACGTCATCTTTCCGGTAAGGCGTATTCCACGTCTGCCACATCTCACAAATACCCAAAAAATATTCACTAATCAATTCGCAAAGACAATTTCTTAATACAATCTCAAACAAATTATTGAACTGTTTGTTTGATTTCTATGAGATTAGAAATGCAGGGGAGTTGGTTATATATATGTAAATGTTGGTTCTAAATATAGAAACTTCGTGACTCGTCGAGGAAAGAGATGACACGTGGACGAGATGGGTTATCGTTTTTTTTTTTTATTAACCTAACATTCTTCTGGACAAGTCTGGATGGATTCTGAAGTTTGTACTCATCATCTCTGGACTCTGGTTTGAAGGGGAAGACAGCTGAAATTTGCTGCTTTTGGCTTTGCTTTCGACCAAGTTTTTTTTTTCTTTTTTTTTTCATCCGGTGTAAGATATTCGTATTGGAACTTAATTATATCCGGATAGGGCCCCGTTCATGAGAAATCGTTCCCTATCAAAGATTTTTTCATACTCAGAGCTCGAACCCGACCAAGGTTTAACAGCAACGGAATTACGTACTACTTTCGTTCCAGCTTATGTGAACCAATTTCCTTTTTGGTCTGTTCCAAAAAAAATGACCATTTTCTAAATTTTTAAACAATTTTACTTAAACTTATAATTCTACCCTTAATGAGCATTTATAAACACACAAATACTCTGGACCCCTTTTTGAATTATTTAGGATCATAAATTCTAAAAGTTTTCATTTTTTTTAACTCCGTGCCTAGTCAAAGAGGTTCACATAAATTAGAACGGAGGGAGTACTACTTTTAAGTTAACAAAATTATATAAATAATTAATATGTTTAACTTTTATATAGTTACAGTGATAAGTAACATGTTAATACAAGTTAAAATATACTCAAATTTAAATGTGTAATTTTTTTTACAGTATATGATCAAAATCCAAAATCAACCCGCTATTAAGAGTGCAGTTATTACACATATTTTTCGTGAAAAATAATGAAAACATACGTCTTAAATGGTCCTATTATCCAATTTATCTGCTATATAAATAGTCACGTTAATGAAGTCAAGAAATTGAATAAGTTCAATGGAGAAAATACTTTTTACTTATATCAAACTAATAAAGACGGGTGAAATTGCTATAGTTTCAAAATTAATCGAAATTTAGTCACTTTTCATGTAAAGATAAATTTGAACGAAAACACTATTCAAAATCTAAAAAATATTCCAACATAATATACTGAAATTCGAATTTTTTACATGTGAACTTCCAGCATAATATACTGGGAGTTCCAGCATATTATGCTGGAGTTCCAGCATAATATGCTGGAAGGTCATACGCAGGTGCTCCAATCTCCGGTATATTATGCTAGAACTTTCTGTGTGCTGCAGTTCCAGCATAATATGCTGAAAGTTCAGATACATGTGTATCAATCTCTAGTATATTATGCTGGAACATCCGATGTTGCAGCAAAATAGTGGTTATTTTTCAATGACTTTGCAAACGTTGAATATTTTTCAATTACCAGTTCGAAAACTGGCTAGCCCGTGCTATTTCACAGTAAAGACATGATGTGTTATATATCTTTCTTTTACATAAATTTTATTATTAGAAATTTAACTACAACTAAATTAAATAAAAAAAACAAAATCATTTCAAATATTAGAATACAACACTTAAATTCAAACAAATTTATAATTAAAATCTTGGGTGAAACTACACACTTAACATTCCATAACAAAAGGAGTATAAAGTTAGTTCTAACTTCTACATTACCTTTATTACTTTATGATGTGTGGCATATATTCGTGTTTACCCTCAAAATCGGATAACAATTGAATTTGTAAATGATTTTAAGGATACGTGGATTAAATTGATACAAAGCGATAAATTAAAATTACAATTGAAATAAATAATGATAAAGTAGATTCAAACCGCACAACTTGAACAGTTATAGCCTTGGAAAGTCAGTCACATTTGAACTGGATGCAATTCGAGCGATATCAAGATACAGAAGAACATTAACTTACAGAAAGAAAATAATAATATACTGCTTTGAGATGCTTGTTACAATGTTGTTTACAAGTAATCAGACCTCTCTTTATATAGTAGGGGAGTCCTATATTAGGTACAATCCTATAAAAGGTAAAAATCCCCTAATTAACTGATTGCTGATCTCACGTCGACATATGCCGAGATCTCCGCCGTGATATTCGGTCGGTTACAGATATCATGGCCTTCTGTTGGCCGAGCTTTACTACCTGACGACGTTCTTCGAAATCAATTAAAGCTATGACCGATCTGAATCGTGTCCCCGATATCTTCGAAGGCAGGTGTTATGGTTCAGACTCAGAATGGATGAGATCTCTACCTTGGTCTAGGACCTCGGTTACTATCTCGAGCTTGGCTTATCATGTCAGAGATCGGGATGTACTTTGATACCAGTTTTACCCGTATACAGATAGTCCCCTCATTTTTCGGAGAATAGACGACGAAAAACGATATGAGCTTCTGATTCTTACCTCGATACAGAAACAAAAAATTGAACGAAACATCTCGTCAGTCACGTCTTAACGGAATTGAATTCTTGTCAGTTGCCAGTCGGCCACTCCTGGATGTGAACCGTCGTTTGAAAACTATAAATACTCCTTCTTCATTCATTCAAACTTTACATCCAAACCTTCTACCCTTGTTCTTTAAAAATCTCTATATTTTCTGGCATTTGTACTCTGGTTTTTTGTGATCTTTGTGAGAACCATCAAGTGCACTCCTTTAACTTCCTCTCTTTCCTCTTTTTTCCTCCATTCAAAAGAAATAGCGAAGACTTTAAAAATAGTTCCCCAAAAAGAAACTTCTTCTACCTCGCGGCCGGTTGTCGAGGAGAATGTTCCACGTACTGCTATCGAGGAACCAGTAGCAGAACCCCCCTTGAACACGTTCATCCCTAGTGGATGCTCGATAATCGCCTATTTCAAGGTTGAAAAACCTCCCTTCGTACCCGGCCGGTGTGAGAAGGTCTCGAGATATGTATGCTCGATCACTGAAGAAATCCTCCCCACAGTCACAAAGGACTGCAACTGGATCGACAAGTACGTGGTGTTTCCCCGACCCGATAAAAATATCACCACCCATGTCGAGGGATACTTAAATGTTTACACTTATCCCTTTACGTTGGGCCCACTGGACCCGGTTATCATCCACTTCTGCAAAAGATACGAAGTATGCCTCGGTCAAATTGACCCTTCATTCTGGAGGATCGTGTTCCTCTTCTGGTTCTTCGTGAGCAAGATCGATAGATGCTTGTTCACCGACGAACACTTCATGCGCCTATACAGTCCTCAACTCTTTCGGGGGGAATGATCAAGCTCGCGCACCGGGCTAGTAAAGCCCCGTTCTCGAGTATCGATAAAGATCGGGATCGAGGCTGGCTAGGCCATTTTGTCCGAGTGAGGACCTCGGACCTGATCCCAGCTGAGTGCATGCTGTTCCCCGAGAAGTGGAACACAAAACGTAAGTAAAATTTTGTTTTCAAATTTTATTTTACTCTTTTCTCCTTCCTTCTTATTGGTGTTTGGTGGTGGTGCAGCTGTCGCTCAGGTCCCGAATGCAGTCTCTCAACTCAAGGAGTGGGTTGAGGGCATCGTGTTACAAAGGCCATATTCTGAGCGCGTATGGCGTGAACTTTCGAAGGGCCAGTGAGAGGCTCGTTCTCATAGTGAGATTCCATTCATGAGTGGGTAAAATTTGGTTTCTTTTGTGTTGCCAAGTTCTTACTTGTTTTGTTTCCCTTTCCAGGTTTATCCAAGGATGTCATACTGAGGCCTCCATCCGGTGATGAGGATTTCCCCGTCGAGTCCCCTGCTCCGAGACAAGGTGATGAGAAGAAGAGAAAAAGGGCTCCAAGCACTTCGAGCTAAGAGAAGAAGAAAACAAAAAGAAGGCTGGTGCGCAAGCCTAAAGAAAATACCAACTCTCGAGCGCCCTCATCAGACTCACTCCACCGGCTGAGGGACGAGTCAGAAGAAGAAGAAGCCTCTGAACTGGTGGCCCTGCGGTCGCAGTTCGAGGGACAAGGGGCCTCCGAAACAGAGAGAAGTGACACCGATCTGCCTCAAGACAGGGAGGCCGATGAGGAGGTCGTGGTTGAGGCCAACGAGGAGGTCGTGGCCGAGGTCTCCCGGGACGTGGGTAATGCCCCGAAGGATGTACTCGGTGTGATAGATATCACCGAGTCGCCTTCATTCACTGAGTTTATGTACAACGAGGGTAAGACAGTGAAACCTCGCCCTAACGAGGGGGCCTATGGAGCGAACGACCCCTTCCACGGAGGACGTCACCGGATTGGGTGACTTAGAGGTTCCAAGGAAGAGTCCATCTTCGGGAACAAGAGGGCTTTCCTCCAGTCCGAAGCTAATCAATCGGTTCCCAGCTCCGAATGTGGATCCCGATCGGAAGCGATCGATTCTTATCTCCATTCCGAAGGATGCCCGAGTCCTCTATACCCTCGTAGGGGTGGCCAGTTACCTTCGGTTCTTGGTGACCGAGGAAGACCAATCCAAGATGAACAAGGTGAAAGCGCCCTTCCTATTCAATGAAGCGCAACGGGCATTAAACCGGGTAACTTCATATACCTCTTGATGACTTCTAATTTTCACTTAGATTACTCTATAGATAACTTTTCTGTTAGTGTTTGTAGGCCTCAGTGCTTCATCACGAGACTTTTCTACGATATCGGGAAGTGCTAAACCAGTATGAGGTCGAGATTTGAGGGCTCACTGAGAAGAGAGATGCATACAAACTTCTCAGCGAGCAACGTGAAGGGGAGGCTAAGAGCCTCCGAGCTGAGGTAGAGGTGGCTCGGAAGGAGCACGCCGACCTGCTCGAGCAGGTATGAAGAATATTTGAGAGTAGTAACAATGATTCAGACACGATGAATAACGGTCCGAACCCGCAGGTCCAACAGAAGATTGATCGGATCAAGCAGCTATAAGCAGATATGGATGTGATAAAGGCCGAGGCATGAAGAATGGAAAAGGAAAATAGACCGTTTGGCCTTGGGAAAGAAAACTGCTCGGGTGCAATTGGCTTCGGCTGAGGTTCAGCTTTGAGCGGCAAAGGAAATGGCCGTGGTGCAGGCCAAAAAAATTGAGGAGCTCCAGTCTCAGCTAAGTTCGGCCGCCTTCGATCGAGAAACTCTGACCAAGGAGCTTGAAACGGCCAAGTCAATCGTTATGGTGGTTAAAACCGATGCCGGCGAGATGGTGGCCCAATATAGGGTCGATGCGGAGGCAGATCAAGATTGAGCAAAGGATATCATCGAGCACGCAAAGCGGCAGTCCCGAAA